TTTCATTTTCTGACTAATTCATTTCTTATTTTACAAATTTGTCCATTCATGACAAGTTGGGGAAAAACTAAGACCTCAAACCAGTTTGTTAAACACTGTTCTAGAATGTTGTAAAATAACTGATGATTAAATAGAAGCCACTTCTACACTGTAGTATTCTGTTGAGAAACATTAAATTTACCCTGCCTCCATGGCTCCCTTGTGGAGAAAGCTTTTAGTTTATGGTTAGTGGTAGGTGGTTAACAGCTGCCTGCTTGGTATGTTTTTTGGGTTGTAAGTAAATACAGAACACCTGTTTATTCGTAAGAATCACCTATTGAAGAGAGAATAAATATGTGGATCAGAATCTAGCTCAGGCCTTCAGCCTGGAAAACTCTCAGCCTGAGGCTCTCAGCTCAATGGGCTGCTGGCCCCCAGGATAGATCCACTGTGCTCTTCTATTGGGTGTCTGCCTCTCATCACCTTCAGCACCGCCTGGGTAGGGGGTCTCCCGATCCAGCTGGTCCTCGGTAGTATTCTTATCCTGGAAAGTGGATTTAACAATAGTACTTGCCTCCTGGGGCTGGATCTGAGACTTAAGGGAAGATATACGTATGTAAGGTGCTTAGCACAATTCTTGCTTTTGGTAAGGGCCCTCCAAAACATTAGCTCTTAGTAATACTGAATAACAAAGGCCGGAGAAGATGTCATTATGTGCACATGGGATATGGTTTCTGTTTGCAATGGGGTTTCAATGAAATCCTCCATCTACACGTGATCTTCTGGAATCAGACCAACTGATTTCACAGACCAAGAGTTCATTTACTTGCATGAAGGGACCAACATTTGGCTTTTGGTCTTCCCTGACCTTTCAGCATAACTACTTCATCATCATGGTATAGAATGTCCTCCCACCCTAGATTTCCTTTGTTTTCCTTAAGTCATTAAACGGAGTAATTGCTGCAGGCCTAAACAACGGAAATATTCTGATCTTTATGGTTTGCTAGGAGCTTGTATTATTTTGGGGTCAGTGTAAAATGACTTGTCACTCAAGGATGGCAAGTATAGAGACATAAACTTTGGTTTCAAGAGATATTACTTAAGGTAGTGGCTCATTGTACAAAGTAAAAAATATAACATATTTTCTAGTCAAAGTGGCCTAACAATATTTTTCAAAGTGTGTTTAGGCTACATGTCAAAATTGAAGGTCGTTGCCCCTTTAACAGGCATCTGGTGGCCAAAAAAAGCAGCCAGCTATTTCAGGCCGCTTCACAGAATAAATGCTTAACTGAGGATAATTCAACCAAAAAGTTTCTAAATCATTTTTGAGTTACAATACAGTGCAGTAGAGAACACGAGGCTTTGTACTCAGAGTAACTTGGGCTCAAATGTTGGTTTTGCAACTTAGTAGTTGGACCATCATGTAAATCCTTACTCTCTTTGAGCCTCAGTTTTCCAATCTGTGAATCAGGGGCTATAAAATCTACAGCACAGGGTCATTTGAAGATTTAGATAAGGTATAACGGGATAATGACTGTGCATAATAGGAGCTCAAATATTATTAGCTCCCTTTTTCTTTATCCAGTTAATAAACTTCAATTGTTATTTTTTAAATCCACGTGATCACTTTGAGACTCCATCAATAAAATCAGGTTTTACAATATACAAAGTAAATATGTCAGTATTTATTTTTAAAAACATACATTGGATCTGGCAGATTCAGTGAACAATAGTCTGTTTGAAAACGTGACTGACTCTTTCCAAGGTCAAACATCCTCAGCTCCTTTTACTCTGCCTAGAACTCTTTGCTCCAAACAGAATAACTCTCCCATGCATGTGACTTGGCTCAATCCTACTTTTAGTCTTTTGTGTTAGTACCCTTCTTGAAATGACCTTCAGATGCCTACCTGCCAAACTCCATACTCCTTGAAAGTTGTTTAACATTAATGTCATCTGAAAATTAGCAGAATGAATTCTGGTTAAGTGATTGATTCCAGTTTATACAGGGCTACAGGTTCTTCCAGGGAGCTGTACTGGTCCCCACTTTGACACATTTTCTTGCTGATTTCCTATACCTTTCCATATTTTTCCATTCTTTCTCCCACTGAGGACATTCAGATTTAGAGAGGCTATCAGTTACTAAAGGCTACACGTTTTATGGCTGATTTTAAACAGGCAGCCAGTTCTTTGGGTTTTTAGTTTGCTATTTTCATTGCGTGATTCTACTATATTTAGTGGGGAAATGGTATAGCTGGCTGACTAAGAAACAGTGGGGAACTTCAGGAATAGAGAGGCAGCTCTAGAAGAAGTAATAGCAGTAAATGAGGGTCATGCAATATGATGAGAGATGGGAGCAAGCTGGAGGAGGCTGAAGGAGGGAGAAAAGATGCCTCAGAGGAAGAATTAGCTTATTCTAGACATTTCACATTACAAGAAAAAAAAAAAAACCCAAACAACTAGAAATTTCTGCTTTGCTTCTATTTTATGCCTAATAACCAACACTACCGTCACTGCCAATGAAAACAGCAATGTAACTGTGCTTTTCTCCCAGCACTAATTCTAAACAATCTACTGGATTTGGGTCTAAATTATAAACTGCCAGGATGTTAAAAATAAAAATAGCAAGACAAACCTGGCATTTTTCCGAAGGGGTCAATGGTGAGTGCAGGACAACAGCCAGAGAGAAGAGCTGCTATAAAAAATAACTGGTGCAGCACACCAGGGCCTGTTGGGGGGTGAGGGGAGGGAATTTAGAGGATGGGCCAATAGGTGCAGCAAACCACCGTGGTACATGCTTACCTGTGTAACCAACCTGCATGTTCTGCACATGTATCTCATTTTTATTAGAAGAAATAAAAAAATAAAATAACTGGTGCAAGCATCCTTGAACTGATGTTTTCTATAAAAATCTGATGGCTGTGAAGGAAACAGTCAAGTTGGAAAGGGGAAAGGAATGAGGATCAAGTGATGTCTGCTTATCGTCAGCTGGCTTTCATGTAAAAGTCATGGCAGGGTCAGCAGCAAACTAGCCAGGTGGCAACTCCAGGCCATGCTGCCATAAATAAATAGTTATGTACTAATGTCACACAATCTGAGCTAGATGCAAAGCATATGGGAAGAAAACATTCTGATGTAAATATTCAGGAAAAACTATGGTTGGTAATTCAGGATCCACTGTTGGTACTGGACTTTGACATGCCTCAAAAAAAAATAAAGTAGTGAAGTTTTTAAAAACCCAGTCTAAAAGTCTTTGAAATGTACAATATTCCCTTTAAAAAAAAAAACAAAAACAAAACCTTTGGCTGAAGAGAGTGTTAATATTAGATGTAGTAATAAAGCATTGCTGAAAGTTGGCAAGAACACTGACTCTGGAACCAAATTTCAGGAGTTTAAAACGTACTACTGCTACTTATCCTCATGACCTCTAGAAGTTCCTTAACCTTTTCATGTCTTAGTTTATTAATTCTGTACAAAAGGGAAGAGGAGGATAATAGCAATAGTACCTGCCTGGCAGGAAGCTATGAGGATTAAGCCAGTCTGTGCAGGGGGAGCCTGTAAAACAATACCTAGTAAACACCCTGTCCGTTTTTATCAAGTAGTCTCAGTCAATTTATTTTTGGCCAAAACCACAGTTACTTTTGCACCAACCTAATATTTCACACAGACTATTTTCTAGACACCACACTATGTAATCTTTTATTTGTACTATCCTATTAATCTTAAAAGCAGCTCCATGCCTGGTCGCAGTGGCTCATGCCTGTAATCCTAGAACTTTGGGAGGTAGAGGCTGGAGCATCGTTTCCGGTCAGGAGTTTGAGACTAGCCTGGTCAATAGAGCCAGACTTCATCTCTAAAGTTTTAAAATTAGCCAGGTGTAGCAGCACGTGCCTGTAACCCCAACTACTCGGGAGGCTTAGGTGGGAAGATGGCTGGAGCCCACGAGTTCGAGCAGGACCGTATCTCTAAACCAAACATACACAAATAGAACACCCCCATGAATTAAATCAGTTTTACAGACAAGAAATGAGGCTTCGATGGATTGAGGAACTTATTCAAGGAGGTATATCTAAAACTTCCCACCCAGGCTTTATTCCAGATGAAAAATTTTAAACCACTTACAGGTTCTCTAAAGTCTAAGCACCTGTGCTTTCATTTGCTTAACTTGTTAAAATCAGAAGAGAAACACAACACATGGCCTTCTAAGAACACAACACACGGCCTTCTCAGAACCAAATAGATTTCGTTAAATTCAGAAGAGAAACACAGCACGTGGCCTTCTAAGAACCAAATTGCTTTAGGAGAACTGAGATCCATTCATCATAATACATATGAAGACCAAAAAAAAAAAAGATTGGCTCATCACTGTAGACATTTATTGAGCGCCTATTATTTTCTGAGAACTGGGATTACAAAGACAGTAGTAAGATGCGATTTTAGTCCTTGAGCAGCCTACTTCAAGGAGTGAAAGTGACCTTCTTTACTGCCGGCTATTTGATGACGTCGGATTAGTTTCAAGTCTGCTTCTCGACAAGGGCAAAACTGCCTTCCACGCGATGTTCAGAAGTTACAGGACTTCCTCAACACAAGCGAAACTATGTTTACAGCGACCTGAGTGAGTTTTCTAGCTCGGCCCTGGGCAGCCTTGGCGGCGTGCGGGCGTGGTTTCTCGGCAGGCCAGTCTCCCTTCCGAGGAGCGCTCACACTGGTGCCTTAGGAAGTGTACTCAAATCGCGCGCCCCGGCAGGGGCTTTCGGGGGCTCACGCTGAAGGATCGCGGGGCACCCGTGAGACCAGCCGCCTGGCCTCTGCGTCAGCCCTCTCTGGCTTGTAGTAATTGGGAGCGTGTGAACTCTACAAGCCTCCCTTGTTGATCCCTTGATCCCAGGTGGGAGAGGCTCTGGATAACTACCTGCCAGCTGAAACTCCCGCGCCACGCCTTTTCCACGGGCGGCCGCTACTTCCTGGTTGGTTTGCCCTTAACTGATATGGCGGCAGTTGCCGTCGGCAGCATCCACTGCGGCTGCTCAGTAAGCCAAGCTAGGGCACTCCGGTGAATAGCCCGCCCCCGCCGCGGAGGTGCTGGTGGAGCCTGGGACCGGGCGAGTCTCCGCCCCACTTTTGCAGCTAGTGGTGTTTCAGGGGGGAGATTGGGACGAGCCTAGGAGGCCAGGACCCGGTCCTGTCGCTGATTGCCTACCTCTTAAACCTCGGCACCAAGGCTGCTCGAGCCCCAGGGTGGTTTTTCCTTGTTCCCGCCACCTCCCGGTCTCTGGCCCAACATGATACTGACCAAAGCTCAGTACGACGAGATAGCCCAGTGCTTAGTGTCTGTGCCGCCCACCAGGCAGAGCCTGAGGAAGCTGAAGCAGAGGTTCCCCAGGTAAGTGTCCATCTCTCCCCGCTCACAGCCGTTTGCCTGCAGTAGCAGTGCCTGGCCCGCCCAGGCAGCGTTTAGGAACCACGTGTCACACATGAGTGGGGAGGAACACCAGTGTCAGACGTTAGGAGGTCAAGGTTGGCGAAAAAAGCTTTATTCTTTCACCCTCCGTCCACACAACACTCTTAACGGATGAGTTCATGGCAGCCTCCCCAAGGCCTTGCAATTAAATTCAAGTCGGCAGATACAGAAAACTTGGTATGTGCTAGGTGGTGGGTGCACATAGTAGGTGTTTCATAAAAGATCAGAGGTTAATTGACGGATACTAGGAATGAAAGATGGGTGGGAATATGAACTGTAGATTCGAAAGGGAAATGGAGGACGCTTTTCAATTGGCCACTGGAAAGAACGGAGCGTAACAGGGTATAGCGGCTTCATACTGTTTGACTGTGGTGTGTACTGTTGGCTGCGCAACTAAGTGACTGCAAGGGTTCTCAGTCCAGTCAGAGAGCAGGGTACCCCCGGGATTCCACTCTTGGGTCATTGGCCATCTGAACAACCGGATCTGAAGTTTCTCCATATAAATGACATATGCACACATTCTGAATGTATTTCATACTTCTTCCCCCAAACACTTCTTTTTTTCAGCGATTTTAGAATTATCCAACTTTCTAAGAAAGGACTTTGGGAATTATATAATATGAATTTCTCATTTTAATTATGTGGAAACTGAGACCCAGACCTTACATGAGGAACCAGTTGAGGACAACCAGGTCACTGTATTTAAGGTTGTTTTCAAAGTAAGAGAATGTTTACTTTATTTCTAATGAAAAACCAAACCTGTACCATTTTGTTTTGTGGCACTGAGCATGGTTATCCCTAAGGGAGAGCTTCCCCATCCTTGATATATTCAGCCCCAAACAAACATCACCACGGAAGTGATTTTTGGAGGACAGAGAGGTGATTGGGTAACAGATATTAAAGTACAAATTGAAGCGTAAGTTTAAGCTCTGTTACGACTTCACTTTTTGAAGGACTTGGTTTTCCTAGCTGTAAAATGAAGGAGTCTCTTTCCCATATTAACCACGTTTGACTTAGTGCAATATTTATCCCTTTATAGCCTTTACTATTTGATCAGACTTACTAAGAAGGAACAAAATTGACATGTAATTTAATGTTATGTCATTAACACTTGTCAGTTCTGCATATGAACAGTAAAATGGGTGAAGACTGGTCAGCCAAGGGAATAGGTAAATTTTTCTGGGGAGTTTTAAGATAAAGCATACAGTTTGATATTCTCCTCTCACTATGTATGCAATCACTTGGTTCTCTTTCTCTTCCTCTCCCTCTTTTTCTCTTTTTTTCCTGTGGCAAATACCTTGTCTTCTCTATAATAAGTAAACGTCCATTACTTTTATGAACACTTAAAAAAGGCTCACTTCTTGTGGGATACCATGTTGCCTGGCATATTCACTTAGGCTCTTTGCTTTCTTATTCATGATATGCTCAAATATTTTTCACTTCTCTCAAATGCCATTCAGGGAATAAATAACTCTCCTTCCACCACAGGAGACGTTATTTAGAGACAGCTGAATTACTAATCTGCAAATGAGGGGATTAAAGAGCTATTTAGGGCCAGGTGTGGTAGTTCACGCCTATAATCCCAGTGCTTTGGGATGTCAAAATGGAAGAACTGCTTGAGGCCACGAGTTCAAGATCAGACTGGGCAATGTACCAAATCCCATTTCTAATAAAAATACAGAAAATTAGCTGGATGTGGTGGCAGGTGCCTTTAGACCCATCTACTCAGCTACTCCAGAGGCTGAGGTGGGTGAAACACTGTATCAAGGTGATTGTTACTTTGTTACATTACAATCCATTGGCCTGTTTCGAACTTTGAATGGATTTTTTTTTACCCACACCTAGTTTGTTATCATGCACTATTCCTTTGTAAAATGTTGCTTGTTAGTTATGCAGATCTTACAAATGTTGTCACCTTTCATTATACAATATCAAAAAATTGTATTTGTTAATGTCATCTCTAATCTCATCAGAAGTCTAAGATTTGGAGCTGTCAAGCTTGTGGTGATGGATATGAGCATTCCAGTATTTGAATTTTTCCTTGAAAGCTCAAATTTTATCGTTGGCAACAAATGCTATCAGTTGTTTTCTTTGAAATTACAGGCTCACATTGTTTATTTTTGAGAAAATGTCTGCCAGATACTTAAATCTGAATAATCATACTTTGTTCATCATTCAAGTAAAAATGGTGTTCCATAGAAAAAGTAGATAGTTCAGCTCTCAGTCATGCAAGTGCTTTCCTGGGAGGCAGACTGTCATACTTTGATATTAAGTATATGTGCTTTGTATTTACTCTAGTCATACAGAGTGTTAAAATATTGTATATTCACGGGTTGAGATTTAATACAATCAATAAGCGATCATTCTTTTATTAAAATTCATTTGGTAATCTTAATTTATTTTTTTTGAGCTTAACTTTTCAAGGGTATCTACATTTTTCTTATAGCCAAATTGTTGATGGATTTCCACATATTCCAGCTATATGCTTACATGTATACCAGATGACTTCTTAGAATATATGAAGAAGTGATACAAATATGTTTGGATGAGTTAGACATGAATAAAGCTGCTGTTGCAGGGAAAGAATGAAGAAAATAAAATTAAGGTCACCAAATATGGGAAACACTATTCTACAGAAAATATATTTTACTTCCTAAATGGTCAGAATGAGTGAAATGAGTAAAATTACTAAAAAAGTAAAATGTAGGCCAGGTGCAGTGGTTCACATCTGTAATCCCAGTACCCTGGGAGGCCAAGGTGGGCAGATTGCTTGAGGCCAGGAGTTCAAGACCAGCCTGGCCAACATGGTGAAACCCTGTCTCTACCAAAAACACAAAAACCAATCTGGTGTGGTGACACATGCCTGTAATCCCAGCCACTCGGGAGGCGGAGGCAGGAGAGTCGCCCGAACCTGGGAGGTGGAGGCTGCAGTGAGCCGAGACCGTGCCACTGCACTCCAATGAGCGAATATTGTTAAGTGAAAGTTTTTTGCTTTTCTTTTTTTCCTGCATGTGTGTGGCAGTGAATACAGTGACTACTAGTACAGTTATGGTATCCTGATTTGTGCTTGATTTGTGCCTCGATTTATGTTTAAGAGCTGGCAGTTTTACTCACCACCATTTTTGTACCATAGTGAAAATGTGAATACGGGGCAAAATGCAAATACTGTCTTACTATTTTTATAAAAATAGTGTTGACCTTGTAGACCTGTGTGAAGGTCTCAGGGACTCCCGGAATCCACAGCCACTCTTTGACGATCACTAGCCAATTCAAGTCAAAGGATAGGATTTTGATGTATATTAACAGATTTAAAAAAGATTGTACTAATCCTTTTACTAGGAGAACATGGGAGTGTCTGTCTCTTCAACTTTTCCAGTATTGAGGAGAGTCATTATTTAATCTTTAATATGTTCAATCAAGAGTGACATCTTATAGTTAGCATTTTAAAACTTATAGATTGTACCTTTTTCCAAAAATTTTTTTTGACCATGTAATTTTCTTTTGAATTACCTGTTTCCTATCCTTTGCCTAATTTTCTGTTGGCATGTTTGTTATTGTTTATTGATTTATTACTTATTGATCTGCATATGTTAAGGATGTTGGTCCTATGTATGTCATACTGCATATCTTTTCTCAGTTGTTTGCTTTTAAATATTGCTCTGCTTTTGATGCGGTTAACTTGAATGTATGCTTTTTTTTTCTGACATTTTGGCCTTTATATTTAGGAAGTTCTTGTCTATTTTAATATATAAAATAAAAAATTATATCACCTAAATTTTCTTTTTGATTTTTACGCCTTTTTTATTAATTTTAAGTATTTCTGGCTGAAATTTATTTTAGTAATTGCTGAGAGGTGAAGATATAGCTTAATTTTTTCTCCAGCTTATTTTTTCCTCTTTTTGTGTCTTCAGAGGTAGCCTCACTTCTTCATGGCTTGTTTTCACTGAAGTTACTGCATTATGTCTTTTCAAGTCACTGCATTTTACCTGGTCTCTGAATCCTTCACTTAAGATGAAGGAGTAGGACTTTGTGATCTCTAATATCTTACAACTCCAAAATTCACCCTCATTCTATTCTTTTCATTTCTGCAGTTTTACAATATAGTAAGCCATCATTTAATGTCTTCAGTAGGGTCTTGGAAACTGCAACTTTAAGCAGAGCAGGGTATAACAAGAGCAAGTTTACCGTATGCTAATTGTTGTAAATAAGAATTAAGTTCTTATAGCGTATTTCTGGCCATAATAACATCACCAAACTTCTAAAAAAGATCCAAAACACAGCTAATATTAAACATTGAAATTAACGTGAGCTTACATACATTTAAAAAAGAAGAATAAAAACAAGTAAGATAATTATTTACCCAATTTTGGCGAATCAGTGCATGATAGTGGTCATAGTGGTTGGTGGGTTAAATCTAAGAGTATGTGTTTGCAAAGTGAAATCTGTGAGAAGCACCTCTTACCACCATGTATTCAAAAGCAAACAATAGCCTCTTCAACAGAGCCAGACCTTGTCTCTACAAGAAATTAAAATGTTAGCCAGGTGTGGTGGTACATGCCCGTAGTCCCAGCAACTCAGGATGTTGAGGTGAAAGATTGATTGGGCCTGGGAGTTTGAGGCTGCAGTGAGTTAGGAATGTTCCACTGCAGTCCAGCCCGAGCCACAAGTTAGACTCTGTCTCTAAAAACAAAAAGTAAACAATAACAAATGTGATGATCTTGCTGAGCACTTGTGTACTGCATCTTTGTTGGCATGCATTTGTATGATTGTCATAGATTTATGAATTTTTATTTTACAGTAATTTGTACTCATTCATTCATAAACTCATTCATTCATTCATTTACCAGCCGACTTATTTTAGTTTAGGATTGTGAGTAACCTCTGGCAGCTCATGCTGCAAGGCATGAAGCCATTCTGCAGGG